CAAACCCTGCCCCTTCCCCATAAAAGTGGACGCATCCTATCGAACAGCAAAAGAATGGGGGAGGGGGGTTATGAAAACACATTTTATGGGCTGGAGAGATAGTACAGTGGGCAGGGCATTTGCCTTGCACACAGCCGACCCAGGTTCGATCCCCAGCATCCCATATGGTCCACCAGCACTGCCAAGGGTGATTCCTGAGTGCAGAGCCAGGAGTAACCCCTGTACATCACCGGGTATGACCAAAAAAAGCAAAAAAAAAAAAAACAAAACACACATTTCACTTGCCATGAGTAGGAGTAGGGCTCAGGGTCCTATCAGGCCCCATGAGAGTGGCATGATTCAAGAGCAATACAGGGCCAGGGATGTAATCAGCACCAGAGCACTTGCTTTGAATGTGTGAGGCCCTGACTTGATCCCCAGCACTGCAAAGCCAAAGACAACAACAAAAAGAGAAAGGTAGAGAATCAAGAATAAATTCAGAAGGCAAGCAAGATAGTGGTTGATGCAGCAGGTAGAGAAAAACAATTGAATCCGGAAAAGGAATGTCATATTATCTCTCAGGTTCATTTATCCCTACATGTCTCAGAGTATGTAGGGATAATGAGTCTGAGAGATACCTCTCCTTTGGTCCCCAATAGCCACGTGTCACCCAGAACCCTGCCAGGAGTGATCCCTGACCACAGAGCCACAAGTAAGCTCTGTGCACAGCTGGGTGTGGCCCCCAAACTCCAAAACACAAAAACATGTGGGCATAAATCATAAAGGAGGGTTCCATTTGCTACTAAAAAATAAACTTTGGTTGGGAAGAGGCCAAAGGGCTAGCACGGCAGGCAGGATTCATGCTTTACACATAGCTGACCCAGTTAAATCTCAAGTACCCTGTATGGTCCCCCAAGCCCTGCCAGGAGTGTGATTCCTGAGTTCAGAGCCATGAGTAAGCCCTGAGCGCAGCTGGGTTTGTCTATAAAACAAAGGACTGGGGGAGAGGGGTCAGAGAAAGAGCACCTGTCTAGCATGTAGCTGTGACCATGGTACTGGTTCAAATACCTGGCATCACATATGGTTACACTGCCAGGTATGATCCCTGTGCCAGAAATGGCCCGTAAGCACTTCAGGTGTGCTCCAAAAAGAAAAATAATAATAATTAAAAAAAAATGTTTCACTAGGACTACAGAGACAGTAGGATGGGTAGGGCTTGTACTCAGCTGACCCCGGTTCCATCCCCGGCACCCCATATAGTCCCCCAAGCCCAGCAGGCGCTATCCCTGAGTGCAGTCAGCAGTAAGCTCTGAGTCCCATAAGGTGTGGGACACCCCCTCCCTCAAATAACCCTACAGAAACCAAAGTTTGTTTTGTTTTTTTTTTTAAGAACTGGAAGTTAGCACATTCACTATGAAGAGCCATGCGCTACTCATCACAACAGCATTAGTAATACAGGCAACGTTGTTTTGTTGCTCTCTGCTTTACTCTGCTTCACAGTATCTTTAAACAATAAGGTACTAGGGCAAGAGAGACAGTTCAGGGATGAGGTGCTTACTTTGAATGCGACTAACCCTGGTTTTATCGCCAGCCCGACATATGGTCCCCCAAGCACTCCAGGAGAGATTCCCCTGAACACAATCAGTTGAAGGTGTGGCAAAACTGTCACACGTTAAGTCTATCAGTGCCATTTCCCCCAACAGTATGTGCTCATTTTGCATCTCAGAATGTTTGCGTCACATTTACTTAAGTGATGTACGCTGTTTCTAGATTGACTAGACTACATCAGAGCATAAATGTAACTTTTATTTGCACTGGCAAATAAAAAAGATTTGTGTGGCTGACTTTCCTGCAAGTCTTGCTTTATTGCAGTAAAACCCATCATGTGCCCATATGCCTGTCATGAAAAGTCTACCTACAACCTGGATGTCGGAGACCAATGATCATGCAAACTCTGTCAATGTAATAAAAGTGATTGCTTATGAGCAAAGGAGATGAGGACCACCATGCTCTTACTGACCTATCAGAATGCATATAGGCCAGGATGCCAGGCACTAGTAGCACGGAGATGTTGGCAGGGAGAGTGGATTATTTATAGAATGCATGGAAGCATCTGGAGGTGGGCAATCACTTTTTACTAACTGGCAGGAAGGCCTTCAATTCATTTTAACAACTGGTCCAGCAGAGCCAGCACATGCTGGCTCCGTCCCAACACTGGCTGCTGGCAAGAGAGCAGCTCCTAGTGCTGTGCGATGCACTGCCAAGTGTAAGGAAAGACAACTCAAAAGAAGGCATTATTCTCATCACCTTCAACAGACGAAAAATAAATAAATAAAGGCTGAGAGAAATTAAACGACTTGTAAGTTTCCTCTACTTGCAAATGACAAGTGATGAGACTCGATCCCCGGCCAATTTGCGTTATATCATATTGCTTCCCCAGAGTACGCAGCCATATGCTAGAACATTAACTAGGATATTAAATGTAATTAAGCTGCAGAGAAATTAAGATTTCATCTGAATTATAACTTTTTTCTTTCTTTGAGTTTCCAAATAGAGCAGGGGGACAGGACACAGGTGTGCACTCACCTTGTACAAGACTGACCCAAGCTCCAGTCCTGTGTCCCACTTGGTCCCTGAAGCCCTGCCAGCAGTGATCCCTGAGCACAGAGCCAGGAGAGAGCCCTGAGAAGTGGGGGTGGCTCCAAATAAATAAAAATAAATTTCTAAATATTTTATAATAAGGCTATATTGTCTTTAGAGTGAAAGATCAATTGCTATCAAGAAATATTTTATGATAGCTAACACAGCGGTAGGGCGTTCGCCTTACAAAGCGGCCAAGATGGCCGACCCGAGTTCGATTCCTCCGCCCCTCTCGGAGAGCCCAGCAAGCTACCGAGCGTATCTCGCCCGCACGGCAGAGCCTGGCAAGCTCCCCGTGACGTATTCGATATGCCAAACACAGCAACAAGTGTCACAATGGAGACGTTACTGGGCCCGCTCGAGCAAATCGACGATCAACGGGAGGGCCTTTAAAAAAAAAAATTTCTTAAAAACTGGAGATACTGAAGGGATAAATTTTTCTTTTAGTGGGAAGGGTACCCACTCAGCAATGCTCAGGAGTTACTCCTGGTTCTGTACTCAGGAATTACTCTGGGTGGTGTTCAGGGGACCATATGGGATGCTGGAGATCCCACCTGGGTTATCTGCATGCAAGGCAAGCCCCTATTCGCTGCACTCTCCCTCTAGCCCCACAAAATTTTCTTATGGAATTTCCTCCCCCTCCCCAAACAGGATACTTTTCTTTTGTCTGAAATGGGTCAATTACTCTCCTAATTAAATAAACAAATGCATGTATAAATGATAGCTCTATTTAGCAACAGGACTCTGCATTACAATGTCCACTCCTAACACATAAAATATATTATTAGTTTAAAAATTATGGAGGAGCCAAGGCATTCATTCATTCACTCAATTAATTTGCCCAGTCAACTTGCTGTGTGCCAGCCACTCGGTTGGTAGCCAGTGAGCCTTGCTCTCATGGAGCACACAATTCCAAGAAGCTAATTACTCCAGTTTTGTTGTTTTGCTTTGGGGCCATACCTCGCGATGCCCATGGCCTTACTTTTGACTCTGTGCTCAGGGGACCGTATGTAGTGCCAAGGACTGAACCCAAATTCCCTGCAGGCTAGACTAAGTGCCCTACCCACTAGGGTCCATCTCTCTGGCCCCAGCAATCACTTCAAGACCTATCTTTTTTGGGGGAGTGGGGCGGGGAAACCCCCAGTCGTGCTTAGGGCTTACTCCTGGCTCTGTGTTCAGAGATTACTCCTGGTGGGGGACAATATGGGGTGCTGAGGATCGAACTCAAGACATGCAATGCAAGCATGCTACCTGCTGAACTATCTCTTCAGCGCCCTGACCTATCTTTCAGTTAACATCTCTGTGCTGAAGGGTGGAGAGCACTGGCCACGGCCCATCAAAAGCAGCAATCATGAGTCAGGTCTACTGGGCCAGACAGGCGTGATTCAGCTCATGGACAGATTCATCTCAGACCTGCCACTGAGACCAAGAGACGAAGACCAAGGCCACCAAAGAACGCTGGGGAAGTGCACTGTCTTGAGAAAAGCCCATGGACCAGAATCTATTTCCAAGCAGCTCCTACTTCATTAGGTCCCTAATGGAAAAATGGGATAACCCCAAATGGTTGAGAAGGTAAGTCAGCCAAATCTGGGATTAGCTAGTCTTAAATCTCAGGGTTAAGGAAAAGAACCTACCACTAAAGCTAAGACATCCCTTTGAGAAGATAACTCTAAATAACGGTATAACAGTATGGGTTATTACTGCCAATATAATGACAAGGTACCTTTGGTAGGTTTGATCAAAGAACCATCATCTGATCTGGAAACAATTCATTTGGGGTTCGACACATAAAATGAGTAATAATTCCTTAAAAGGCAACCGAGTAATTTATTTCAGGGATCTCAAAACCATCTCTGTGTTCTTAATAAAGGAGAAGGATGATTAAGTTCCATGCTACCCTCCTGTAAATACTTTTTAGAAGGTTGAGAAACAATAGTGTAATAGGGAGGGCGCTTGCCTTGAATGGGGCTGACCTGGGTTTGATCTCTGGCACCCCATCTGGTCTCCTAAGCCTGATCCGTGAGTGAAGAATCAGAAATAAGCCCCGAGTGCCTCGGGCATGGCCCCCAAACAAAATGAAACAAAAATCTTTAAAAATTTTTATGTTGATACACATGTCCCTTTAGATTCTTCCTTCATCTTCTTGTATTAATTCTGCCACTCAGTCAGGTCAACCTAATCTCCTTTTAGTAATCCCTTTTCATACAACTTTACATTGCTAAGTAGACAGTAAAAACTGTTCTGAGTATGACAGTGTGGTGAAATTTTCAGATGGCTAGAAAATTTTCCATACAAACTCCATCAAGTTGAGAAGGGAGGGAAGTTATATTTACAATACACTGCTCAGTCAATACCACAGCTATATATGTTATGCATCTCACCTTCGATATAACTTGGATTGTCCAAAAGTCATAATTACCAGTGGCACATGGAAGGTAGTCAAAACCAAAATGACCTGCAAAGAGACAAAAGCATGGAGTCTGTTAAGAAAAAAACAAACAGTGCAATACATGTTTCCAGTGATAAAATTAAATTGGCATCTGAAAGACAGCCAACAGTCTTGCTCTGTATTAGCCCCTATATTAACACTTGATTCAAAGTCTCAACCAATTTTGTGGCAATGGTTTTATCACCCATCACCTATTGTGAAGCAACAAAGCAGAGCCCGTCAACTACACAGTACAACAAAGGATTTCCAACAAAGGACTGTGTCAATATTACAGTAGATCATTCTCAGAAAGAATCATTTCTTTCTGCTTGCAAAAGTCAGAGTACTGTAGGTACTTAACAGGGATCACAGCACTGTCATAAGCACTGTAGGTAATTAATAGGGGTCACAGGATCATAGAGTACTGTGGGTATTTAATAGTGGTCACAACGTCACATACCTGGACCTTTCTTTCCCCTGCTGAAATTCTTCATTTTTTGGTTTTGCTTAGGGTCTTTACTCCTGGCTCTGTGCTCAGGGATCACTCTTAGCTGTGTGGGGGAATCATATGCAACTCCGGAGTTTAAACTGGGAGTAAGGCCAATGCCTTAACTCTTTCCTATCGTTCCAACTGAAATTATTTTTTTAAATAGTCAATTTTCTAGAGAAATAATGCATGAGGTGAACACTAAAAGAGACCCGGATCTCAAACTGTTATATAAGGAATCTTGGTGATAGTAACTCTCTTAGATAAATTGAAAAATTGGGGAAATTTAGTAAATAACAACTTCATTGTTTATTTTGGGGGGGGCCTCCCAAGCAGTGCCCAGTGGGCTCAGGAGCCACTTCTGGTGACGTTCTGCCACTGGGCACTGGTTTACTGCTTGGACTGATGTACAGACCACCAGCTAGGGGTGCTCAGAGGGCTCTGAAGCCACATGGTGCCTTGTGGGATCCTACCAGGCAGGGAGCACCCCGTCTCCCTGGTCACACCCAATTTTTAGAAGAAACTGGGCCATGACTGAGTCATGTCTGTCTGATATCTAGATTCGTTAGGATGCGTGAATGACTTGGTGCCTTGTAGGAAAATTCTTTTTGTTTTAGCTCTGGACAGAGCTACCCTGTGTCTCAATGCTGTGATACACACCTCACTTAAGTGCCAGAGGGTACACACTGCAGGGCCTGCCAGGTCTGACGGTCACAGGGCCCGGTGACACGAGTGCAGCTAAGCAGTAGTATAGCAGGGGGGGTATTTGACTTGCTCATGGCCAACCCAGGTTCGATTCCCGGAATCCCAGAGGGTCCTCCAAGCACCACCAGGAGTAATTCCTTTGTGCAGAGCCAGGAGTAAGCCTTGAGCACTGCAGGAGTGGCCCCCAAACAAAAGCAAAAACAAGCAAACAAAGACTAACCCAGCTAATGACCTGAGACCAACGCAGCCTCAGCCTGAACTCCTTCTGGTCAATGGCCACCCCCTCGGTGAGAGAAAGAGCTGACACACTGACTCTCAATCCCTACCTTGACCCCGTTCCTCTGCGGTAGGGGAAAGGACCACAGAGTAGAATTGCCTTGAGCCCATGGATACCACAGTCCTTTGACATCAACTGTGGGAGCAGACACAGGCACAGCACAGCTTAAGGGAAAAGTGTCAAGATGTGTGCTGTGCTGTTTCTGCAGGGTTCCCTGAGTGTGGGGGCTCCCCTCCCAGGACTCAGCTCTTTCCCCTTTCTTCATACTCGACTTTATGCCAAGCAGCCACCAAGGACTGAAAAGGTGCCTATCTTCCAACAGGAGAAGGTGGTCACAGAATGTTTCTAGTTCTAAAGCAAAGAAAACCAAACCAATCACAAATACAAACATGCATTTTTCTACATGTTTATAGGCTGGAGATACTCTCAGAAAATAACACCATTCTATACTCAAACTTCCAAATCTCCATCTTCCTGCTGAGTGAATTAGAAGACAGAAAATAGGGACTGGCAAGATAACACATCAGGTAGTGTGAGTGCCTTACCCACGGTGTACCCAGGATCAATCCCCATATTCCATGTGCTCCCCTGAACACCCCTGGGAGTAATTTCTGGGCACAGAGCCAAAAGTAACCCTTGAGCATTACCGGGTGTGATCCAAAAACAAACAAACAAAAAAGACTCAAAGTGGTACTTACTCCAGTGCTGTCTCCAACCCAAGACAAGGACACTGATCCACTGAGGTCATCGAACACATGCTGGAAGAGAAGAGAGCCATTGAAAACGACATCTTTCTTTTAATCTCTGAAATAACACTACTGTTTTCAAAATAATTTAAGGTAATAATTATGAAGATTTGAGTTCCCAGAATACACGCTGGGGAGAGAAAAAGAATTTACTTAACCTGAATTACAAATAACTTGGAAATTTTAATTCTCTCTCATACAGTCAGCCAAACAGATGAATTTTCTTCACTGCACCAGATGGGGATAGATAATCTAACTGCTTTCTCCAACAGAACTAAATATAAAGTTACAGAAAGTATTCTTAGGATGCTTTAAAACAAGAGCTCACAGCCCACATTGACAGATATAATTGTAACCCAATCAGCATATTTTTAATTTTTCTAGGCTGCCTTCAGAGTATAGATGAATAGCTAATAACTGGATTCCAGGCTAACTCATTTTGCTTCCAGGCTAACTCATTCAAAGAGACAAGGGATAAAAGCATGAGTAATTACTCATTTCACCTTTTTATTAAATAATAGTGATGATGATGATGATGAGAACTAAAGAACAATTCGACTATGGCTGTGGTGCGAGCGGTGATAAGAAAAAAAAGCTGGTGCTATATCCAAACTACGGTAAATGTGCCACGGTGGAGCTCTAACAGTCACTGCAGATGCTTTGGGTTTGCATTTTCAAGTTATTTATATGGCTGTAATGTAATATATATCACTAAAGAAAATATAATAGAGGCATACTAAAGAAAACACATATCATTCTAACTCCTGCAACACAGGATTAACTCACACACACATACACGCACGCACATTGCACACACATATGCACGCACACATAGTCTCAATCATTTTGTACTTGGTAAAATATTCAACCACACAGAAATGTGTATAGGGGAAAGTAAAGAGCTTTCATTCCCCCCGCCAGTGGCCCAGGACCAAAGTCCCCCTCTCAGAGGGTTAATAGTTCAGTATTTCTACTCAATGTTGCTTATGCTCTTCTCTGATGAAGATTTATCTCTTATTAAGATGCCCATCTTAAGCACGCCCTGCCTTTCCAAACACAGAAAACTGTTCCTCAGAAGCAGAGAACACAACCAGGTATCTGTTGGTATTCCTTGTGTCTATATCAAGATCCTACGTATTCAGTAAGCATTTGCTTAAAAATGATTATACATCCTTCACAAACCACAAGCCCAATCTCAAAATAGAACATGTCTATAAATGGTGGAATGCCAACCACTTGGTCATCCAAGCCAACCCCAACAGAGAAGTCAGAGGAAATGCTACAAACACCACTGAAGCGCTTCTTTTCTCCTTGTCTCTGTGTCCCACACCGAGAATGGGCTGTTCCTCTCTGGACTGGCACTCTGAGGACTGCTGAGCCCCCTGCTCAGCTTCTGTGAAGAGCAAGAGACCCCAGCGAGGCTTGCTCAGTGTTGCCGGTTAACACGCCAGCGCTCGGGCACCGCTTCTCCCAGCCTCTGAGGACAGAAAGGCTATTCACACATCTGCGAGAAAAAAGGGCGAAATGGCTGGGAGAAACAGCTGGAGCCAGAAGCTTAAAGACTCACACACAAGTGTATCTCCTGAGAGCATCGACACAGGACAAGATGTGTATTCTCGTGTGTGAGGCTCTGGGGTCTGAGGTGACATAAGCGAATCCCAGGGATGATGATGATCCAGAGCTACCACAGGCACCAAAGAGACCACAGGGGCTTGGCCACCAAATCATAGGCTATCTTTCCGGGGTGGGGGAGGGGGGGTTCCGGCACAACTCATGAGGGTGAAAGGAAAATTACAACACTAGTGCCGTGAACTGATCATGAAAGAACTGGTCCTGATCCCACCAGTCCCCACAGTGTCCTTCACTTTTCAGGCAATGCTCCTTGCCTCTTCCCAACGCCTAGCCACAGGAGGAAGAAGAGAGAGGAGGAGGAGCAGGAGGAGGAGGAGGAGGAGGAGGAGGAGGAGGAGGAGCAGGAGCAGGAGGAGGAGTAGGAGGAGGAGCAGGAGGAGGAGGAGGGATACTAGAGGCTACTAGCAACCTTGGCTTTACAGCTCAGAGGACAGCTGACCTCAGTCCTCACCCAGAGTTCCTTTGGAAACATGGGCCAGAGTTATTTAAGTATAATTGTAATCTGCCACTGCCCTTAACCCTCCTTCCTACCCTATCCCCAATAACAAACTCAATTTTACTTTGGAAAATATGCACACTCATTAAAAAAAACTCTCTACCCAAAAAATGCAACTAAGGTTTTTTCAATTCTGTCTTTAACATACTAGTAACATCTTTTACTGGTGAAAGTAAAAAGCGGGGAGGTGGGAGGGGTGAGGGTGGGGGAAGAAATAATACGTAGCTACAAACCAAAGCTCTGATGAAACAAAAAGTTCACAAAGAAGGCAAAAGCATCCAGGAGAGTTGAGGAACTTAGAGACCAGACACACTCGTAGGCACCAATGAAAAAAGGAACTCAGGAGCTGGAGCAATTGCACAGCTATTGCACAGCGGGTGGGGTGTTTTGCCTTGCACATGGCCGACCCGGGTTTGATTCCCAGCATCCCATATGGTCCCTTGAGCACCGCCAAGGGGAATTTCTGAGTACAGAGCCAGGAGTAACGCCTGTGCACTGCCGGGTGTGACCCAAAAACCAAAAAAAAAAAAAAAAAAAAAGGAACTCAGATGTCTAGAAAGGGCAAATGACCTAGTTATGGTTAGGAGACAGAGTTCACCTGTATTAGCGAAAGATCTCTTTTTATTCCTTTAATTTTTGAATCACCGTAAAATACAGTTACAAAGCTTTGATGTTTGAGTTGCAGTCATACAATGATCGAACATCCCTCCACCAGTGCACATTTTCCACCACCAGTGTCCCCAATATCCACCCCTATATCCCATCCCTCCCCCTGCCTCCATGGCAGACAATTTCCCCCATAATCTCTCTCTACTTTTGGGCATTATGGTTTTCAATACAGATACCGATAGACTATCACATTTGGTCCTTTATCTACTTTCAGCACACAAAAAGATTCCAATTCTAATGCTGTATCAACTTTCCCAAGGCAGAAATGAATAGAACACACAAGAATCTATTCCGATGGTATTTCTTCTTTTAACCAAGATGGAGGAATAGGGATCCAGGTAGCCCTGACATGTGAAACAAGTGGAAAACCACAAAAGATATGAAACCACAGTTCTCAAGATACTGAACATCAGAGAGCAAAGAAAAAGACCCGTAAGAGGCAGGAAACAGGGGCTGGCGTGATAGCACAGTGGGTAGGGCATTTGCCTTGCATGCAGCTGACCTGGATTCGATTCCCAGCATCCCATATGGTCCCCTGAGCACCACCAGGAATAATTCCTGAGTGCAGAGTCAGGAGTAAGCCCTGTGCATTGCCAGGTGTGACCCAAAAAGAAAAAGAAAAGAGGCAGGAAACAAAGGATGGTCTTGCTCTTGGTGTGGAGAGTTTCCAGGTCACAGTGCAGGAAAGGGGAGTCCAGGGATCTCCCTTACTCAAGTGATGAGCTGGTTGTCTGGGGATACCAGCGAGGTTGAGCAGCAGAGGCTCCTGGGAAAATGACCTAAGAACAGGGAAATTCTGTTGGAAGAACTAAAGGGAACAAAATGTGCACCTCACACAAGAGCAGAAATAACTCCTGCCCAAGAGAGCCATAACAGAAACCTGTAACACAAGTATTGAGAAAGAGTACACAGAAAAACTACTCCATGGTAGTAAAGAAAAATTAATTAACCTAAATACTGTTCTAATCTTGTCTTTAAACACTTAAGTGCAAGTCCAAAAAGGAAAAGAGAAAGAAATTCCAACGACTGCCAAATAAGCCGTGTCTCAGAACAAAGTTCAAGAATTCAAGAACATTTTTAAAGGACTAAAAAAATATCCAGGACTTAACACTGTAATATTGACAATGCCCAATTCAATTTTAAATAAGTAGGCAGAAAAAGAAGCAAGACAGGACCCCAATGTGGAGAAAATCAATCAAACTGATGCAGAAATAACACAGATAATTGAATAGACCAAGACAAAGAAACATTTCAAACTACCTCTCCACCAGAAAAGCATTACAATGCAGGGGTCTAGCTCAGTAGTCGAGCACTTGCCTTCCAGGTGTTGAGATACTTGGTTCAATCCCTGGCAAAACATGCACACAATCACACAAAATTAAAGTATCTGGTACAGAAATTACACTTGGTAGGATTAACAAGGCACTGCAAAAGAACTCATAAATAAACTTAAAGACAAGTAAACGGAAACGGTCCAAAGTTAAAAACAGAGGAGACATTAAAAAATGAACTGTAGAGCTTCAGAGAATCTATTATATATGCAACTGAAATGTCCGAAAGATGGTGGGAGTAGAAAATTACCCTGAGAAAATAGTCAATATTTCCCAGACTTAATGAAATGCATTAACCCAGGGACAGATGAAATTCACAATCCTCAAACTCAAGAAACACAAGGAAAACAATACGAAGGCACATTATATTCAGGCTGCTTAAGACTGTGACATTAATCTTAAAATCTCCCAGAAGAGGGGCTGGAGCAGGTAGGGCACTTGTCTTGTATGCAACTGACCCAGGTTCAATTCCCAGTATTCCATATGGTCCCCAAGTCCACCAGGTGTGATCCCTGGGTCAGGAGTGAGCTCTGAGCACTGCCAGGTGTGCCTCCTCCTGAAATAAAAATCACCCAGGAGACAAATAAATAAAGAGGAATGTAGAGTCACAGATGACTTCTAAGAATCAGTACAAACTGACTGAGCAACATCTTTAAAGAACTGTGGAGTGGGGACCCAGGGATGGAGACTGTAACAAGCTAGAATTCTACACCCAGATAAAGTATCTTTTCCAATGTAGATTGTGGTGGTCAGGAAGGTATCTCAGTTGGTCTGGAGCACATGCTTTGCATGCAGGAGGTCCAGGTTTTATTTGGCATCTCATCCTCTCCTGAGCATCAATTCAAGAATGGGCCCTGAACATTGGTGGGTGGTGGCCTGAGAAC